AGTCTCGCTCTTCCCCCAGGCTGGAGTGCAGGTTGGCACGATCTTGGCTCAACATGCGAAACTCTGTCTCACCGGGTTCAAGCAAGTTCTCCTGCCCTCAGCCTCCTGAGTAGCCGGGTGACTTATGGCGTCCCCACCACCAACCCGGGCTTAATTTTTGTTTTTTAGTAGAGGACGGGGTGTTCAAACCATGTTGGGGGGGGGGGGCCAGGCCTGTGGTCTCCGAACTTCCTGACCTCAGGTGATCTGCCTGCCTTGGCCTCCCAAGAGTGCTGGTTACAGGCTGTGAGCCATCATGGCCAGTCGCTATGTGTGTCATAAATTTTATAGGTCTAGGGAAGTGGTGGCGAAAACTGCGTGTGCGCCTGTGGCCGGGGCGGGGGGGGGTGTGTTGTTTTTCGAAACAGGGGTGCCTCCTCTGGTCGCCCAGGCTGGCGTGGCTGGAGTGCAGTTGTCGGATCCCTGCTCCTGGCTACCTCATGCCTTCGCGGTTGAAGCTCATGTTCTGCGTGCCTTAGCCCTCCCCGATAGCTGGGGATTAAGGCGCTGCTAATCCATACCCCAGGCTTAACTTAGTGATTTTTATGTGAGAGAGGCGGGTGGATCACCTGAGGTCAGGAGTTCGAGACCAGCCTGGTCCACACGCTGAAACCCCGTCTCTACTAAAAACACAAAAGTTAGGCCGGGCATAGTGGCTCACGCCTGTAATCCCAGCACTTTTTGAGAGGCCGAGGCAGGCGGATCACCTGAGGTCGGGAGTTCCAGACCAGCCTGACCAACATGGAGAAACCCCTCTCTACTAAAAATACAAAATTTGCCGGGTGTGGTGTCACATGCCTGTAATCCCAGCTACTCGGGAGGCTGAGGCAGGAGAATCGCTTGAACCCGGAAGGCAGAGGTTTCGGTGAGACAAGATCGCCCCATTGCACTCTAGCCTAGGCAACAAGAGGGAAATTCTGTCTCAAAAAAAAAAAAAAAAAAAGTTATGACATGTAAGGCAACTGGAACTTTGAACATTTATTACACGTTTAACAATATTTCAAAATTATTGATAATTCCTTTGGATGTGATACGCTTTGTAATTATATTTTAATGAGCTCTCATCTTGGAGAGATACATTCTCTCCGAGATACAAGAAATATTTATAGAAGAAATCATCCGATGCCTGAGATCAGCTTCAAAAGAACCAAGGATGGGGCAGGGACGGGTTGTAGGTGGTCGGTAGTCAGGGCTGTGTACTGGGTACAAGGAGGTTCGTTGTACTGTTCTTCGGTCTGTTGCGCAGGTTCGAAATGCTTCCTAATTTAGGCTTCCTAAAAAGCCTAAAAAGGGACTTGGCAAGCTCCCATGCAGCCTTCAACCCCACAATACGGAGAGCACTCAAGTCCGAGGCGTTCCTGCTCCCCAGCTCCCTGCAAAAACAGCGCCAGGCAAGGTCGCGAGGTGAGGGCAATGCTTCTATGGGGGTCCCGCCGACAGCATCGCGATCCTCAATGGCTCAGCGACTTGCGGCCCTTGAGCATTCGGCGAAGGATGACCTGGACGCCGGCCGGCGTGCTCAGGCGCCGGACCCAGCCGTGCTTGTTCTTCCGTTTGATGTTGCTCGGCTGATACTCGTTTCCGCGAGTCTTGCCCCGGGCCTGCTGTGGGGTGGGGAGGCCCCAGGCGTCCGGGAACCCCAGCCAGGCCCGGGGCTGGAGCCACCTGCGTGGGTAGAGGGACGGCGAGAAAGGTCAGACGGGGTGCTGGGTGACCTCGGCGCTCAACCTCTCTAAGCCTCTGCTCCCGGGGACAGAGCCTGGCTGCAAAATGCGCTCCATAAATGCGCAAGTCACTGGCAGGTCATGCGGGCAGTGAACAGTAGCGCCAGCCTCCGACGCCCTTATTCCCAGATTTGGGGAAGGGTTCCCCTTTGAGGACTTACCTGCCACCCAGCAACGCTGCCGACCTACTCGTGGGGCCCAACAGGGATGCAGCCAAGAGAGCCATATCCTCAGTGGGTCCGGCAGGCCCGGCCGCCGGCGATTCCGGAGCCCAGAAGCGCCCAACCCTGGAACAAAGGATTATGGGAAGTGTAGTTTCTCCTAACGTGCAAAAAACAGGCCGTTGGGGAAAACCCTGAAGTTGTAGTTCTGCGCCTGCGCAACAGAGGCGCGCCAGTCTGTCCGCGGGGCAGGGTTCTTCATACAAACCAAAAGGTAGCCGGCGAACGGCGCCTTTTCAGCACGCGCATGCGCACAAGGCATTATCTCCCGCGGTCAGCTGGGAGCTGTGCTGCAGTTGTCTCTCCTGTTGACCGGCAGAGGGTGCCCCGCGGTGGCCGGGCGCAGCTGGTGGCAGCCGCAAGAAGCGGCTGGTTGGTCTTACCACCTCCAGCTGGGCAGATGGCACACAGCTGGCTGCCAGCTTGTCCTGGCTGCAGCCAAGTCTCCGCCTCTTGGCAGGAAGCCGAGGAGGCCTGAGTTCAAGCTCGCTGGGTGTCCTTGGGATGGTCCCTGCGCCTCTCTGGGCTTTCTCGATCTGTAAAACTCATGGATTGCAAGCTTGTCTTTGACAATCTTGCCTCCATTTCGGACCCTAGAAGAATTTTCCTCTGTTGTTAGAACCGAAAAAAAAAAAAGAAAAAGAAAAAAGGAAGAAAAATTTTCTGATACTCAGATCTGAACCCCTCCCCTACTCACACACTATCCTTGGCTCTCCATTTCTCCAAGTAAAACCTGCTCAGCCCTTCCATCAGGCATGCAAAACCCTGTACACACACCATCTTACATTTCTCTGCCTGGTGTTCCCCTATCCGCCCTTTAAAAATCCTCTCCTCTCCTCCAAGGGCTGACTAAGGTGTGGCTTATGCCTGTCATTCCAGCATTTTGGGAGGCTGAGGAGGGAGGATCCCTTGGGGCCAGGAGTTTGAGACCAGCCTGGGGACATGGTAGCAACCACATATAGCCTCAAGTACTAGGAAGATGAGGTGGGAGGATTCCCTGAACCCAGGAGTTCCAGGCTGTAGTGAGCAATGACAGCGCCAATGCACTCCAGCCTGGGCAACGGAGTGAGATCCTTTCTCAAAAAAAAAAAAAAAAAAATTGGAGTCCTCTTCTCTCAACCGCTGTCCATTCTTCTGGCCCAGCTGCCTTCCCTTGACTCTCCCCCAAGTTCAGGGGCTCCTCAAGGGCCAGGGGCCTGGGGCTGTATCCCTACAAGTGCCAGCTTGGGGTTGATACAGAGAGGTGCTTGCTAAATGAATAAACTGTATAGTCTCCCAGAAGTGCCCTTAGTGGGCAAGAGTAGGTGTCTGGACGGAATCCAGCTCTGGCAGCAAATTCCAGGGGATGGGAGTGGCCAAGCAGCAAGGAGCATTTAACCCCTCGTCCCCCGAAGCCCATCCTACCTGTAGCATCATTTAGCAAAACATCACCACTACAATAACGCCCATAATATATGGAGCACTTGTTATATGCATGACACTGATGAGTGCTTTACCTGCATAGTAAACTTATGAGAGGATTAATTTCATAAAGAAATAAACAGAGGCTCAGGAACGTGAAGTAACTTGCCCAAGGTCACACCTCAGCAAAGGGCAGAGGCTGGATTTGAGACCTGAGCTCTCCTGAGGGCCTACCGTGGCCCCGCCGGCACCACAGAGCTGGGATGCCTGCCTCTTGCTATCAGCCCTCCTCAGAACCATGGCAGCCATAGGTTAAATCGGCTGATTATGAAATTCAAACTCTCTAATTACCCACAGCTCTAAGACTTTCCTTGAAAGCTTTAGAGAAGCCCGTCACGATGGCTCACGCCTGTAATCTCAGCCCTTTGGTGAAGCCGTAGGCGAGAGGATTGCTTAATGCCCGGAGTTCGAGACTAGTCTGGGCAACATAGCGAGACCTCGTCCCTACCAAAAAAAAAAGGGGGGGCAGGGGATGGGAGTGGGGTGAGGGAGGTTAGCAAATAATGGTTCCCAGGGCTTGGAATTACACAGCCTTGGGTTCAAGTCCCAGCTTTGCCCCTTGCTTGATTTATGTTCTTGTGCCCTTTATGAGCCTCAGTTTCCCCACTGGAGACTGGAAAAAGATCTTGGAGTCTCTGCTTCTAGAATGGAAAGGTCGATACGGAGAGAAGAGTGTGGGAGCCTCGTTTGGAGAGGAACAGGACAATTCGGAGGCAGGGGCTGGGAGGCAGGGGCTTGGGAGACCCATTTGCAGAGAGAGGGCCCCGGCCGCGCACTCCCAGGCGTCCCTCAGACCTTAGACTGCAACCCCCTTCTCCGCCTTGAGCCAGGCCCCATCCTCCCGCAACCTCGGTGCACCACCAAAGGGGTGGGGTTGTTGCTCCCAGAGCCCGCCTCCACTCCGGAACTGCCGCCTCTGATTGGGCTTGTAACTAGGCCAGGTCAATCCGCAGCTGCGATAGGCCGAAGTGCCCGCCCGTCGGCACATGGCTCCGCCTACTCGGGGGAGGAACTTAAAGGGCCGGCTCTTTCCGCGGCCGCGGGATGCCCCTGTGCTGACCGCCGGGGGCCGGTGCCCGCCCGCGTAGACGCACCCGGCCTGACCCCAAGCCACCATGTAAACGGCGCCAGCAGGCGGACGCTGGCTTCTCCGCCTGGGACCCCTCCGCCCCGACCCGGGCCCCGCGGCCCTCGATGAGGTGAGCGGGGAGCGGGCCCCAAAAGGAGAGATCGAAGCCCCGGGGCCTCCACTTCGGAGGAGTGGTGTCCACCAACCCCGCGTTTGGGCTCCTAGGAAGCCACGGAGCCCCAGTGGGCTCGACCCCGCTGCAGGAATGACGAACACCTGGAAGGCGGGGGCCAGGGGCGGGGAAGCGGGACTGGGGTGGCGCCTGTGCGTTGCCCTCTGCAATCCGGGATTAGGGCCCCACTCGAGGTGCGGGGCACAGTCTGCTTCTCCTCCAGTATGTCTGGGGCCACTGCGGGCTCAGTCTCGGGCGTGCTTTACCTTAGCGGCGCCCAACCTGGGGTGGGGGGCAGGCAGGCAGTTGGCCCCATCTCCAGGCCCTAGACACCTAGACAATGGGGGTGCACTGCTCGGGTATCCCCCCTTAGGTTATGTAACCGCCTGTGGTTGCCATGGACACGGGGGCGGGGGTGGCCCAAGGAGTGGGATGGAGGCTTGGAGGCCCCCAGCCAGGGCCTTGCCTTTCCCATCCTCTTCTCCACCTCCGAGGACTTGTGTAGCAGATCCCCAGAATCCAGAGTGCCAAGGAGGAAGTTCAGAGTCTAGCTTCCTCTCAGAGTATCTGGGTCTCAGCTTGGCCCTTCATGAAACAGACCCCGGCTCACCCCGGTCTAGAGGAGCTAAGCAAGGCTTTCTGTGGCTCAGTTCCCAACCCCCTCTCCCAGGGCCTCATCTTTCAGGAGTCAGATTCAGAGCTAGGAGTCTCACTGGGGGCTCACCAAAGATTTGCACATTTTAGATGCCTCAGGAGGCCATGGGGATATGTGAGTTAGTGAGTGTATACCTGGATGAGTTAGTGAGTTAGTGCATACCTGAATGAGTAAGTTAGTGTATACCTGAATGAATGAGTTAGTGTATACCTGAATGAATGACTTAGGAGGCCATAAATGGTATAAACTCCAGCTTGTGGGGAGGGGGTGTCTTCAGGCTGGTCCACGTTTGCCAGAATGTCCCCTTCTCCAGGAACATCCCCCACCAGACCCCACCACCTTCCCTGTGGACACCCTATGGGGTAAGCCATAGCCACCTCTTTCTCTCTGAGGATAGACTAGGTGGCCCAGGAGGGTGCCTGACTACCACAAAGGCACTGCCCAGACAAAACATCTCAGGGCAGGATGGCTCACACCTGTAATCCCAGCACTTTGGGAGGCTGAGGCAGGCAGAACATTTGAGGTCAGGAGTTCAAGACCAGCCTGGCCAACATGGTGAAACCCCATCTCTACAGAAAATACAAAAATTAGCTAGACATGGTGGCACCTGCCTGTAATCCCAGCTACTGAGGAAGCTGAGGCAGGAGAATCGCTTGAACCCAGGCGGGGGAGGTTGCAGTAAGCCGAGACACTGCCACTGCACTCCAGCCTGGATGACAAAGTGAGACGGTCTCAAACACACACACACACACACACATGGCTCACTTGCTCTGGCGCTCCCCAAACTGGAGTCTACAAGGGTTCTGCTAAGGCTCAGGGAGTGCATGCTGCAGGGTAGAGGGTTCTCATTGAGACAGCACCTGAACTGGCTGCTGTCCCCACTCACAGGACACACCATGCTGACCGGGGTGACCGACGGTATCTTCTGTTGCCTGCTGGGCACGCCCCCCAACGCCGTGGGGCCATTGGAGAGCGTCGAGTCCAGCGATGGCTACACCTTTGTAGAGGTCAAGCCCGGCCGCGTGCTGCGAGTGAAGCATGCAGGACCCGCCCCGGCCGCTGCCGCACCTCCGCCATTATCCGCATCCTCGGATGCAACCCAGGGGGACCTTTCTGGCTTGGTCCGCTGTCAGCGCCGGATCACCGTGTACCGCAATGGGCGGTTGCTGGTGGAAAACCTGGGCCGAGCCCCTCGAGCCGACCTCCTGCACGGGCAGAATGGCTCTGGGGAGCCGCCGGCCGCCCTGGAGGTGGAGCTGGCCGATCCAGCGGGCAACGATGGCCGCTCGGCCCCCGGCAGCGGCAGCGGCAGCGGCAGCGGCAGTGGCAGTGGCGGGCGGCGGCGGCGAGCCCGGCGCCCCAAGAGGACCATCCATATTGACTGTGAGAAGCGCATCACTAGCTGCAAAGGCGCCCAGGCCGACGTGGTGCTGTTTTTCATCCATGGTGTCGGCGGTTCCCTGGCCATCTGGAAGGAGCAACTGGACTTCTTTGTGCGCCTAGGCTATGAGGTGGTGGCTCCTGACCTGGCGGGCCACGGGGCTAGCTCTGCGCCCCAGGTGGCCGCAGCCTACACCTTCTATGCGCTGGCTGAGGACATGCGAGCGATCTTCAAGCGCTATGCCAAGAAGCGAAACGTGCTCATCGGCCATTCCTACGGGTAAGTGAACCCTGGCACGTGGGGTGGGGGTGAGGGATGGGGGTCAGCAGGGACTGACAGTCACAAAATTCTGAGTTTTTGGCTGGGCCCTGTGGCTCACGCCTGTAATCCCAGCACTTTGGGAAGCCGAGGCGGACGGATCATCCGAGGTCTGGTGTTCGAGAACAGCCTGGCCAAGGTGGTGAAACCCCGTCTCTACC